AGCAATAATTATTCTCTTGAAGTGAGTATTCAACAACAGCAACAACGACAACAACAACAACAATCAGTTTAAGACTGTTCGCCCTTATCTGCTCGAGTGTCCAAGAACGCGTATTTCCCACACCCTCGATACCCGCCCTCTTCGTCTTCGATCGAACACCCTTTTGGGGGGTATACCTTTCTTCCCTGCAGGCAGGGCCCCGGCAAGCGGTGGGGCGGCCGCGAACCGTCGGCCTGGCCAGCGACAGCGCTGATCGGCGGGGCGGCCGCAGACCGTCGACCCGACCCCAAGAGGGACGGACAGGGGACCGACCACGACGACGACGACGATGACGACGTCGACGACGACGGCGACGGCGACGACGACGAGCGAAAGCGAGAGCGAGAGAGAACGACAGCAAGGCCACAAGGACACGAAGTAGGCCACGAAGGGCGACAGCGGGGACACGAAGGGAATGCGTATGGGGCCAGGAAGAGCGCGAACGAGCGGGGGCCACGAAGGGCATACGTATACTGGGCCGCGGAGGGCAAGGACGGGGCCAATGAGGGCAGCAACGGGGCCACGAAGGGCAGCGAGGGAGCCACGAAGGGCGACAGCGGGGCCACGAAAGGCATGCATATGGGGCCACCACGGGCGCGAACGAGCGGGGGCCACGAAGAGCATACATATATGAGGCCACGGAAAGCAGCGAGGGGGCCACGAAGGGCAGCGAGGGGGCCGTGAAGGGCTGCAACGGGGCCACGAAGGGCTGCGACGGGGCCACGAAGGGCAGCGAGGGGGCCACGAAGGGCTACAACGGGGCCACGAAACAAAGCAAGGGGGCCACGAGGGGCTGCAACGGGGCCACGCGAAGGGCAGCGAGGACGCCACGAGGGGCTGCAACGGGGCCGCGAAGGGCAGCGAGGGGGCCACGAAGGGCTGCAACGGGGACAGGAAACAAAGCGAAGGGGCCACGAAGGGCTGCAACGGGGCCACGAAGGGCAGCGAGATCCCGATTCTTAGGTAATCTGTGAGGGAGTCCTAAACGTGAGCGCGACTCCAGGGCGCCTCGGTGTCGGGAGCGCGGCACTTGAATAAATTGCAAGAATTTCCACCGCAAGGACAATATTCTTCAGTCAATTTCAAGCAAATCTCCAGCGAGAGCGCGACTCCAGAGCGCCGGGAGAGCGATTCCTGAATAAATTATAAGGAAGTCCCCAGCGAGAGCGCGATTCCTGAAACAAATGCAAGGGAGTCTCGGGCGGGAGCGGGGGTCCTGGCTAAATTGTGAGGAAGTCTAAGGGGGGAGCCGTTGATGTTGTAACCCGGGGGCCAACGACACAGTTTGACGCTCAAGACTTTCCCTGATAAAAAACAGGGTGCGAGCCCCGGAAAAGGCACTTCAATCGAGAAAAACAATGTGCACCGGACGGGGGGGATCAACAAACAATCTTCTTCAGAAATGAGAATTCAACAACAACAACAACAACGACGACGACGACGACGACACCAACAACAACAACAACAACAATTACTAGCACGTGGGGACACTCCGTTCTCACCAGTGCCAGGGTTTTCATAGGAGGCGGGCAATACCCCCACTTTGTGGGGGGGCCGGTTCAAGCTCTACCAAATTTCCAAACGACTCTTCGCCACCACCCACACCCAGCTTCCCGCCCTATGACGTTCGGACACTTCACTTCGTGGCATGCGGACGACCGTGGCTACTATTCAGGGCCCCGCGGCCGACGACGACGGCGTGCGCGCGCGAAGAAAAAACGAATGTGTCCCGCATGGTATTATTTGACAGGGATGATGGCCCTGGCAGGTGCGCAACCGTTGTTGCAGAAGTTCGAAAAAGTTGCTCGCAAAAGCCCGTTTGACAGAAATGTTTAAAAAGTGTTGGGTTTCCTACGAATCCGCAAGAGCGCGCGGGATGAAATTTTGACATTTTGTTTTTAAAAAACCATTGTTTTTTTTGATGTTTTTATGTTAAAATCGCTACGAAAACTAAGGTTTTGGAAGGATTTCGTCTTGCGCGCGCGAATGTCCACTTTACCTCATTTTTTGCAAGGGATTCTTGAAGTTTGGTTATGTTAGAACAAGAAATGTCCACTTTAGCTTATTTTTTGCAAGGGAAAGCGGGCCGTAACAAAACAACCGGATCCGGACCAACCCGTTTTGCCTGAGACTTCCTCACGAAAATGATGAAAATGTGGCTGCGGCCTAGGCGCGGCGGGGGGGTCGTGCACCAGGGGTCCCAACAATAATTATTCTTTAGAAGTAATAATGTTCAACAACATCAACAACAACAACAACAACAACAACAGCAACAGCAACAGCAACAACAACATTAGCAGCAACAGCAGCAACAGCAACAACAACAGCAGCAACAACAACAACCATAACAACAACAACAACAACAACGACAACAACAACAACAGCAACAACAACAACACCACCACCAACAACAACAACAACAACAACAATAGCAACAACAAGGACAACAACATCAACAACAACAACAACAACAACAACAACAACAACGATGATTCGGAAGAGCCTTTCGGGGCAAGGGGGGCCTCTCGGGCTGCCTTGGACATCTCTTCGGCCGAGTTGGAGCCGTCTGGAGTCGTCTTGGGGCGCTTTCGGAGCCTATTGCCTGTATTGGAGCGATCATCGGGGCCTTTTGGGTCGTCTTGCAGCGTCGGGAAGTGGAACAGGCGGAAACGCCAAAACTGTTCAAACACATATGGAACCTCCATGTTTTTGGGCCTCTTGGGTATCGAAGGGTCCTCTTGGGCCGTCTGGAGGCCGTCGTGGGCGTTTTGGACCGTCCAAAGGCCTTCGGCCGCTCACGCCACCGTGCCTGGGTTAGAGGCCTCTTGGAAGTTCGTTTGGATATCGTGGGAGGCCTCTCGGGGGCATCTTGGAGTCAGTGTTGGAAGCATCTTGCTTGGGGGCCGTTTGGGGGCCTCTTGGGCGTCTTTTTAAGCTTCTTGGAGGCCCCGTGAGGCCTCTAGGGGGCCTCGTGGGCTCTCTTGGGGGCCTCTTTGGGCTTCCAGGGGGCTCCTCGCTCGAATTGTCGGTTCGTTTTCCCCCCTTGGGCCACCGCTTGGAGCCGTCTTGGGGCCCTCTTGGGCGATCGTGGGCGCCTCTTGGGCCGTTTTGGAGCCCTCTTGGGCCGTCTTGTGGCCCTTTTGGGGGCATCCGCCACGGCCGCGTCGGTCGCGCCGAACTAGCTGGCCGCTGCGCGCGCGTGCTAGGGTCGGCACGGCCGCAGAGATGCCCCAGCCAACGCCAAGCATGCATTGCAATCGCCACCGCATTTGTTTTGCAAACCAAGGTGCGGGTGGGTGGGTGGGATAGTTGCAAGGGCGTGGGATGTGTCAACTCGTTTGTTGAAATCAATTGCACCATATAGACTGCACTACATCTATTGCGCTACATATGTTGGAACGAATAGACTTCACCACATAGACTGGACAGCCAATGGGGTCCGCTGCGCGCTAACATGTTCGTGAGAAACAGCCTGCGCATGTGTGTGTGCGTGTGTATGTATAGGTATCTATGTTGTCCTCCTGAAACTCCTCATCCTCCTTCTCCTCCTCCTCCTGTTTCTGCTTCTTCTCACCTCTCCCACCCTGTTCCGCCCACACCCTCTCTCCTCCTGCTCCTCCCCCTCCTACTCACCTCCCCAGCGGCACTTCGGTGGAGGGCACGTGCATCACATCCATATCACGGTCTGCAAAAATAGCATCAGCTGCTGGATGCGCTGTAAGAGTGGCCAACATTGTGGTCGGAACATCCAAGGACCTGAGCAGATAAGGACAACGACCGAAGTGTCTCGAAAATGCTGGGAAGTTGCGGCAGCGGCGGCATCGTAACGTTGTTCCCAATGGGATTTGCCTGACATCGCCTCATATCACCCCCCTCGCGCTCAGCACCCTTCTCTTTCTCTTCCTGGTTATCCACGTCCCCCCGGCCTGCTCTCCCCTCTCCAACTCCCGTTTCCGCCTTCTCCCTCTCACGCCTCCTCCGCCATGACCATTATCCTGCATAGCCCCCTGTTGCTATCTCTTGTTCTCTCTCTCTCTCTCTCTCTCTTCGTTTCTCTCGCTTGCTATATCTCTATTTCTCACTCTCTCTCTCTCTCTCTATATATGTCTCTCTTGCTCCCTCCCACCCTGCATGCGCAAAGCCCGTTGTGTATACACATGTGTATATATGTATACATTCATGTATGTGTACAGACACTGCTTCATCAGCATGGTAATCAATATCACCAGCATCAACATCATCATCAGCATCATCCGCATCACCAGGCTCATCATTATTATCGTCAGCATCAGCAGTATCAGCATCGGAATCGTCATCATCAGCAGTAGCATCAACATCAACATCGACATCATCACCATCACCATCACCATGACCATCATCAACAGCATCAGCATCAACAGCTTGTTCATCAGCATTGTCATCATCAACATCATCATCACCACGAGCATCAGCATCAACAGCCGCATCATTCTCGTCAACCTCATAATCAGCATAAGCTAGCGCATCATCAGCATCATCGTCATCACCGTCGTAATCATCGTCATCAACGTCATCATCCCCACCAAGCAAACATCATCAGCTTCATTATCACCACCATCATCAGTAGCATCATCACCAACATGGTCATCCTCATCAACAGCATCATCGAGATCATCGTCGTCGGCATCCTCATCATCATCCTCATCCTGATTATCAGCAGCAGCAGCATCATCATCATCAACATCATCCCCACCACCAGAATCAGCATCATCATCCCCATCCTCGTCATCCTCATCATCCTCAGTATCGTCCTCATCATCCTGACCCTCCTCCTACTCTGCCTCCTCCTCCTCCTCCGCCTCCGCCTCTGTCTCTTCTGCCAGGGCCCCCCCCTCCCGGCCCTCCTCCCCGCCTCCCGGGGCACCCCCGCCCAGAGACGTCCTCCGACCCCCCCCCAACCGGCGGACAGGGGTGGGGGCCGCCCGACGCCGCGGCCAGGAACGCGACGCCGCCGGCTCCCGCGGCGGCCCTGTCCCGGGGCTGGGGGGCGAAGGGGCACGTACAGCGAAACAGAGAATATGGCATACACACAGACACGTAAGAACTCGGAGGTCCGCGCGGCTTCCTCGGATCGGCGCTGGGGGCGCCCCTGGCGGACCTCGGAATTTGCATGTGTCTGGCATTGCATGCTCCCCTATGCGTGGATGCTCGTGCTGGGGGCCTCCCTGGAGAACGCTCTTCCATGCTCGGTGAAAAACCAGGTTGTCCGATGGGGGGAGGGGGGAGTGGCCAGCCAATGGCCTGACATCTTCGCTCTGTGCAGCCCCACGCATGCCCGCGCGCACCAAGACTGAGCACTCCCTTCGGACCTGCGCAACTGACAAGGTCAAATTATCCGGGGTGAGGGCGCGGGGGCGCGAGCCTGATAGCCGGGGCCATCTGCGGACCCCCAAAAAACGGCCTCCTGAAGCGACTCGCTTTACACATGCGTCAAGGCTGCGCCGAACGTCCGTCGATTTTGCATCGAACCTGAGCCGAACTAAAGTCGAGATAATCTCATTGGAGTCGAACAGATCCGGTAGGCAGGCCCACCCTCCATCGGATCGAAAACTCGAGCTCGGTGGGGACCACCTGACCCAGACAGGTCTCCGAAACGAACATCTAAGAAGGGAGAGGAGGGAGCGAGAGTTCAAGCGAGGCGCCGATCCACGGACAGGCGGCGACGCACGAGTGCCCGTGCCCGTTGTTTCCAGGCGCGCGAGGCTGAGACTCTCAGAGACTGGCAAAAACATGCTCACATGAGGTCCACCAAAGCTGCGTTGCTAACTGCAACCATTTGGTGTCATTGATGTCGTAGTGCCTGTGCAGTCGTGGTCTCGTGACGTCGCTGGTGTCGTATGGTGTGTCTCGCTGCTGTCGTTTGGGCGACATATAGTCAACACGAACACCCGCCGTGATGCGTTGACGAAAACTGGAGGTCTGGGTCCTTCTCCTCCTTCTTCTTCTCCTCCTCTGCCTCCTCCTTGTGCTGTGCAAGAGTTCCCGTATATCGTCGCAACACCGTTTCTGCTGTCAGCCATGGTGTCTCCTTCCTGTTGCTTGATGCTCTGGCTAGGGTTTCAGTTCAGCGCTCTTCGTGTCCACACCTCTGTCGGATGCCATGCTATCTGGGCCGCCCATCGCCATACCATTCGTTTGTACCCATTCGTTTGTACAAGTGCATATCCGCCGATCCGGCGTGTGAGTTTCAAGGAGTCTCAGCTACAGCCTCGAGGCTGAGCCTCAGCCTCTGGGGGGGTTGCCGGGGTGGCTCTGCCGGGGAAGGGGGGGTGGGGGGGGGGGGGGACGAGTTTTCCGGCGGTCGCGGGGGGCCGCTTTTACAAAAGGCTCTAATCTCGAGGATGCGCTGAAAGGGTGGCCGCGGCCGCAAAAGTCTCTGAGGACGGTTTAAGAAAGTCCCGAGACCCCGAAAGATCGCCCGAACACGCCCAAGATGGCCCCAAGACGTCCCAAGAGCCTTCCAAGACGTCTGAAGAGGCCTCCAAGAGGCCTCCCACGAGGGCCCCCAGAGGCAAAAATCGTTGATTTCCATTGGTGTGTTTCAATGTTTTTTGGGGTTGTCGTTTTTTTCTGTTTTCCGACGCTCCAAGACGGCCCAAGAGGCCCCCAAGACCGCTCGAAGACGGCCCAGGAGGCCCCCAGACAGTCCCAAGACGGCCCAAGAGGGCCCCAAGGCGGCCCAAGAGCCGCCCAAGACGGCCCAAGAGGCCCTCAAGACGGCCCCAAGAGGACCCAAAAGAGGGACGAAAAGCGGAAAAAATCGAGCCTTCCAGCCCACGAGGCCCCCAGGAGTCCCCAAGAGCCCCCAAGAGGGCCCCCCAAAGCCCCCAAGAAGCCCCCATGACGCCCTGACAGGCTCCTAAGATGGCTCAAAACACGCCCATAATGTCTGCGTCTGGAGAATAACACCGAGCGACCCGGATCGGCGGCACTGGCCGAAGGCCACTACAATATTGTATACTGCGTCGCCGCATCAACTTCTGCGCCCCGCGAAAGCTCCTGCGGACAAAATCCGACCACAACTCTAATTCGTATTGAGAGGTAGTGTCTCTTGTGTCGGGATTGTGGGGTCGTGTTATCGTTGTCGTCGTGGGCGCTGGCGTGGTAGGATTGAGCAGGCAGGTCACTGCGCGCGTAACACTTGCTGGAGGCGTCAGACGACCGATCCTGGGGCGTGGCAATACTCATGATGATCGCATCTGTGGTACTGCTCGCTGGCTGCTTGGCAACCGTCTGCATTCGGGGTGTGACGGAGATCATTCGAACCGTTCGCATCGGTATTCTGCAGAGCTACGGTTGACTTGGGTCGGTCACTGCCCACAATTCCACACCGTATAGCATAGTGAGAATCACCGTGCCTTGGTAGTGCCGAAGATTCATTAGCTCTTGTCTGCGGATCGTGAAGGATGCCCAACCAGCCTGTATGCTTCGCGTAATCTCGGTGGCAGAGGCGTCGTGAAACGTAATGGCTTGCCATATATTTGACCGTGCCGTTGTAAGGCAAAACGGTGATGCCGATCCCAGACACTTCGACAGCGATGTCCATCCCTGACACTTCGACAGCGCGCGTTCGGATTCGAGGCTGGTTGCTCATGACAATCGTCTTGTCGGGGTGGACTTCCAGGCCATGGGCTCTGGCTGCTGAAATTGAATCAGCAAGCACTGTCCTGAGATGCGGCAGGGTCTGGTTCAGTAGTAGCATGTCGCTTGCAGAGAAGACGACGCCATGTACGTAGGAAGTGTAGGGGCAACGAAAAAGACGCTGGCACGGTCGATGTCTCAACCGGGCGCTTTGACACAATCTGACCGTCAGCCTTGATGATTTCTGGAAACAAATGCTTCAGCTACATCCAATTGGATGCCGCGCCTCCGGCGTCCACGCACGGATGAATGATTGGAGGGTGTTCTGTGGAAGTGCGTTGAAAAATACCAAGGAGGAGGAAGAGGAGGAAGGAAGGAAGGGGAGGATGAAGGAGGAGGGGGAGAAGGAGGAGGAAGATGAGGCGGATGAGGGAGATTGGGGGGGGCAGAGGGGGAAGGGCGAGAGGGAGAGGGTCAAACTAGGCGCGCTCGCGCCGTATCTGACATCCTACTTCTCCAACCCATCCCTGCCCATTGCGCTGTGTGTTCATCTATCTACCGACGCGTGTCATAGCGGACCTGGAACTCCCAAGAGAACCCTATCGTGTTATGCACAATCGGAAACAAAGGAGCTGCGAACGTTGGATGCGCAGGAGGATGCGCAGGAGGATGTGCAGGAGGAAAACGAGGAGGATGAGGAAGGAGCAGAACGAGGACGAACAGCAGCAGCAGGATCTGGAGTGGAAGGAGCGGGAGGAGCAGAAAGAACAAGGGAATGCGGAGGAAGGGACATGAGGGGGGCGACCACGATGAAACACGACTCGGACCCAGAGAAGTGGCCCGCGCTGGGGCGAGCGCGCCAGTACCAAGGACGGGAGCAAAGCACCGTGAGGCCCACGCTGCAGTGGGAGCATCGTTTTGAACCACCGGAAACAATGGGATCGTGCTTCTGTTCATGGGGGTACCGCGTGTTACCCGCGGGTGGGGGAAGGTTGGGGCGGGGGGGGGGGATAACGGTAACTGCGACCGCGGGCTCGTTTCTGAGAATCCTGGAGCCACAGGGCCCCCCCCCCCCCCCGGGGCGCATCGCAACCTTAAACTTAGGTCGGGCATGTCCCCCTACCGGCGGATTTTGGGCGAAATCTTCAGAATGATCAAGGAGACTCAGGAATAGTACCAAATAGTCAAAAAAATCGCCTCCAGACTATTTCTTGACTATGTGTGAATTTTCCTCCTGTAGAGGGACACGCCCGACTTGACCTTAAACGTCCGCGCTGGGGTCGCCGCCGCGCCTTCGCTGCGCAGCGACCCTGCAGGCCAGAGGAAGCAACGGACGGCATCGAGAGCCCCCAGGCCCACCCACCCCTCCCACAGTGGGGCCACCAGGCTGTGCACATGCTGCTGTCTGGCTCCATCCCCCTTTCCCATACCCGAGGAGGAGGAGGAGGAGGAAGAGGAGGAGGAGGAGGAGGAGGAGGAGGAGGAGGAGGAGGAGGAGGAGGAGGAGGAGGAGGAGGAGGAGCTCCTTCCGCCTCCACGTCGTCGTTCTGCCCCTCCTCCTCCGATCTCGTTCTGCTGCACCGCATCGCCTGCGTACACCACAACGCCCGTGTACACCACGGCAGCCGCGCGCACCACAGCGCCCGTGCACACCACAGTGCGTTCCGGCGTTCGTTTTCACTATGCTATCACAGGATAGTTCAAACAACATCATAACATCAATGAGTTAAAATCCTGCGTGCGAAACTGTACACGGAGAGGGCCGAACATCTTCCAGAAAGAGTGAGGGGAGAGAGGATAATGGCATTCATACTGTGCACTGATGAAGTAGGGTAATGGTGGGAGAAGGCGGAAGTGGAGAGATGATGATCATTATGCTTGGACGATGCTGCTCAACGCTAGTGGCCATTCGTGCACGGGGCCCGAACGGGGGCGGCGCGACTCCCGGACGAGGCCCGACCGAGCTGTAGAGCCGTGCTGCACAAGAGAGGTCGACCCGTGGTCGGATGACATACTTCCCACAGCCTTTTCCGTCGCCCTCCAGGTCCTGGAAGTTGTTTTAGAGTTTGTTTTAGAGTTTGAGATGTTCGCAGGTTGTGGCTTAGATATGTTTTGAAGTTTTTTCAGAGTTTGAGATTTTCGCAGGTTTTGGCTTTCAGATGTTTTGAAGCTTTTTTTTTGATTTAAAGTTTGAGATGTCCACAGGTTCTGGCCTAGAGTCATTTTGAAGTGTTTGAGAGTTTCCAAATAGTTCGGCCGGTTTTCTCGATGGACCTCGTGGAGCATGAATGACAAGCCTAACTCCAGGAGTCCTTAAACTACCCGGGCTTCTCCAGCCTGCCACCGCTGGGCCGGGCTTGCAGCCACAGCGCTCACCGAGCACGGGTC